TAGCAACAGAAACAGGTAAGTCCATTCCTTAATCTGCAATTCAATATTTTTATACGTATGCAGACTTATTTGTCTTTACTTTGCTATTGTCAATGGCAGCCGTGATGATCCTCGTCGCCCTCGAGATCACGTACCTGCTGGCAGGCGACACGCAGTTGTTTCCGGGTTTTCAGGCTAGGGCGGCGGCACTTACCTACTACACAATCAAAGCTACTGGCAAATGCATACGTGCCGGATCGTACGTGTAGCTGTTGCGCGCTCGTCTAACTACATCAAGCTGTCCGACTCCATTTACCCACAAGCGAGCCGCTAAGCGACCTGCGCGAGTCGTAAGCGAGCCATTCATGCCGCATCCGTCTACTCGCACATCATACGTGCCGACTGCTCCGCTTGGCCATCTCCAATCAGATTAAATACAGCTACATCAGCGATCTCCCTAAATCTGATCTGCCTAAGGCCGATTAGTAAAATAAGGACGACGTCGTCCCAACTACTTGCTCGATCATTCGTTCGCAATGATGATCGTCGAGAGGGTGACAATTTCGACCAACGCCGATGATAGTTCGATAGCTCAAAACGCCACCGACCATATATTATGTCTAAAGCTAAGTCACACTTTAATATTTTTCTAAATATTCTCCAACCTTCATATATCTCTATGATGTTTCTCCGAGCTGTTTTCTCCATGTTTGCTTTCCAAACGATTTTCTTTCATGTATACCATCTTAAAGATGACATACAACTAAGTCTAAGACAAATCCCCGAACAATCATGTTGATGCCCGGATGTTCTCAGAGATGGCCCTGTCTCCGGTTTCTCCCTACATGTGCATGAGCGCCTATCCTCTGCGTTTGGGGTGATCGGCAGCGCCTCCTTAGCGACGCCCTGCTCTTCCTACACGCACAGGGGCTCCGCGCTCCGCGTTATGGTTAACGGGCTAGCTAGGGCTGGAGACTTAGCTACACACTAACTGGTTGGACGGTTTATATTAAATATAAATACATCTTCAGAATAACACTAAGTGTTCACACCAACTAATCGCCGAGCTGCATACGCTATTTCATCACCATTACTGATTCTTCTCCGGAGTTCATATATTTTATTTTTATATCATATACTACATATTCTACACATTTGTTTCGCAGGGGCATGGCTCGGTCAACGAGCTTACGCTCAGAGAGTGGATAAGATGATCATCGTCTCGGTGGTCGGACCACCTATTGGACGGACTTCACCGCCAACCAACTGGTCGGACTGCTCGGCACTCACTCCTTCTCGGTGTTCACTTCGTTGCCGACCAGTTGGTTGGACTGCTCATCGCATGGGCTTCATCGTCAGCTACGCTAGGGGGCTCACCAGCTACAATGGGGGCTCACCAACAATGCTGGGGACTCCTCGGTGTTCGAATTCTTCGTGCAAGTGTCACCAGCTAAGCCGGGAACTCCTCGGTGTTTGAATTCTTCGTGCAATAGTCACCAGCTAAGCTGGGGACTCCCTTGGTGGTTGGATTTTACTACGTCTCGTTTGTCGATTCGCCTGCTGGCTTACTACGTTTTGCCGACGCTACATGTTATGTGTGCTATCAAGGTGTTCCATGCTGTCCGGATCAGCGTGCTGATCCTAGGCGACACATCGGGGGCCTTGATAAGTACATCTATCGCAGCAATCTAGTGCTAAGCACATCTCTCCTCTCTTGGCAAGCTTTCAGACTTATTTTCTCTGACCCTGCTACAAGATATCTTCACAATCTTCCAGCAGGCTCGGGGACTACGTGTGTACACGTCATCTAGCGATGACTGTATTTATTTCTACACCTGTTTCCAGTGACATTGGGGACTGGGCCTGCACCTGAAGACTACCACTTTAGACCCTAGCACCACGTGACTACTTCACCTACTGCCAGGCTTGAGGACTAAGTGGACACACTTCACCTCGCGGTGAATGTGCTTATTTTTCGACTTAATCTTTTACAAAGTGACTAAGACTATGTTCGCTTAAACTTATCACCGTACCGTTTTAGCGAAATAATAGTATTTTTCTCTCACAACAAATCAGCATCAGCATCAGTCGTTTTTTTTCAGCCAGCCGAATAGGGCGTAAGTTCCTCCGCGCTGACTGAGTCAAGGACGCTAAGCGTCTAACTTTGACTTTCGGAACCTAAGTAGGCACACTTCATCCAAGATGGAGACTTCAAATTTTTTTGTCATGAACCCCTTACGTCCTTATAGCAAACCTCAGCTTCGAGTAAGTCTAGGCTTGCTCACAGTTGAACTGCTCGGACGCCGTTCCCATTACTCGGACAACAGCTCGGATGACAGTTCAACTGCTCGGACGCCTGTTCAACTGCTCGGACACTTGCTTCAACAGCTCGGCTCCCAGTTAAATTGGTCGGACACCTGTTCCTAAGGATCGGCAGCAAGTTGGACAGCTCGGACAAGCTCAAGATGGTGTTACTTAGCGGATATAAAGCGCTCGGGGACTAGCTGTGGGGGTATGACCCCGGTACCCATAGGACAGGACATATGCCTGCACCATCAGAGGTGGCCCAGCCACACAAGATCATGGCGTGCGACGCACGGCACTAGCCGGCGTGCACCGCAAGGCTACTAGATGATGTGATTTATTAGATATTGTATAATATCAAATATGATAATTTTCTTATAACCCTAACCCTCCAGAGTATATAAGGAGGGGTAGCGGTCCTCTAGTGGATATCCCCATACCAATCTTAGGCTTAGCCTAAGATATCATCTCTCGTGATATAATCGACAAAGACACAGGACGTAGGGTATTACGTTAAGCTGACGGCCTGAACCTGTCTAATCGCTGTCTCTCGCGTTATGTGTCATCATCTGACTTCCTCATGTTTATCTCCATCGATTCATCTACTACCATGAGCATATCCCTTGTAGACTCCGGACGTATTTGGTTGACAGACATGACCGACATGTTGCCGTCCCTAACATGGCGACATTAGGTTGGGTTTGATTAGGGTTAGACTACTCCATAAGCACTTTTAGGCGCCTCGGGAATTGGAACCCAGCGGCTGGCTGGCTGCAAACAAAACCGTCGCAGCCTTTCTGTGTAGCGGCGTGAGGCGCCATGATGAGCTCGTCCGTTTATTTATGCCGCCTTCTGCACTCACCGCATGCACCGCGTTCATTTCCATTCCAGCGGCACGCACGCCGTGAGCCCATGACGCCAGTGTTTTTCAAACTTTGCCCTGCGAAATCCCCACCTTTTGCGAGCTAGTGCCACTTTGTCAGTCACCGCTTTGCTCCCTTTTCACCAGCTCACTGGTAGTAGACGCCCTAGTAGTGCCCTACAGATCTCTGCACGTTTCCCTCGGTTACTCTTATGAGTACTCCTACACTATACCCCTTTTGCACTCGGCGCACCAAAGGCGGCACGATGAGAGAAACGGTGTTGTGCACCTCAGAGCATGAGAGCATCTGGTTCCTTTTGCTAAAGCTGGGGGCAGGGGCAGCGTCGACTTCGTCAGATTCAGCGCTGAAAGAGAGGTTCGTTCGTCCATTTTGCTGGAAAAGGGTACCCCGATTAGGATTAGGTGGCGGTTAGATGAGCTGTTTTATTTTTAAATAAAAAGGAAACTTGCAAACCGCTGTGGGCCTCCGGTCCGGCGATCGGGGCCCACCTAACCTCCCGGCGCCGAGGATTTGGCGATCCGTACGTCGACGGCGCAGCTTGAAGCGGGTGAGAGAGCCATCCGGACGGCAACTATGCGGTGCCGTGCACATGACATGACATGAGCGTAGACTCCGAGCGCGCTGGGCCGGGCGCTCCGAGTCCGAGGTCTCTGACCTGACACGCGGGCAGGGCATCAGTGCCAGCGAGCCCCGGACGCGTCGCGACGCTCGCGGTCGATGGTTTCCCTGGCGAGACGAGACCCCGGCGGCAGAGGACAGGACAGAGGAGGGACTAGGGAGGCAGATAGACGTCGCCGTCTGGCGTCAGGGAACGGATTATGAGGCCTGCACCGGGCCGGTCGCCGTCGCGATCGCGACCGCCGCAGCAGATCGGCAGCGTGCAGCGAGCGATCACTGCAACCGGCCAACCACGACGACCCTGCACCGCGTCACTGTCGCGGTATCCATCGGAGATACTACAGCCGCGTCGGCAGCAGCCGGTGGCGTCCACGCCGTCGACGCCGACCCGGCAGGCGGCAGGGGCTCGTTTCGAGGTACAGTATCTCACGACGAGGACGAGGATGCCCATACGTGATACGACGGCGAGGAGATTCAGAACGCCTGCGAACGCACCACCACGGCGCTTGGATGTTGCCAACCCTCACCTTCTGGCCTCTGCTCCTGCAGGCCGCTCGTTTCGTGCTCCACCGCCGTGGCCACGGGCGCGCCTGCTCTGCTCATGCCTGCCGCGTTGGAAAGGACTAAAAGGAGTCGGCTCTGGCCTGGCCTGGCTTCCTCGCCACCAGCACCACACCAAGCTTTCCCCAAACCCCGTGTCAGGAGTTACTCTGGTGTGATCATGCCATAAATCATGGTATCCCAGGCACCTGAAATTTGTTAGTGCAGAGTATGAGTATTATTAGCTATGGATAAGTCGTTTTTTATTGCTAATAACATTGACCCACAGCACGACAGCCGAGCATGAGTAGAAAGAACAACAAAAAATGTTTTTTTTAACAAAAAAAAAAGAGCTTGTCCCTTCCTGAGTGTTACTGATGAAGGTAAAACGTAAAACTGCGCAAGCAGGTGCTCTGATTGCGAGAATTGCAAAATTTTGGAGCAGAACAAGATTAGCCATGAATCCATGAAGTCAGACTCCGTATAGTCTGTACAAACTAAAGTTATGAGCAATCGATCGTTGCTCGTTAATTCTTTTGCATAGCATTGGTGCACTGCTCCCTAGTCAGACATAGATAGAAAAATCTAGAAAATGTGAAGAAAAAAAAAACTCTCCTTGATCATACACAAACTACTTCAATTCAATTGAGTCGTGATCTTGACGGAGCAATCAGCCTACTTCTTTTCCTTGACAATGGAGAGCTCTTCGAGCCAGTCGAGGATCCTACTACGCCGGACGGCGACGCCGTGGCCGCCGCTCTTGGCGCCGTCCTTCTTCCTGCCCCGCTTCGCCGCCTCCAGCGTGCGCACGGGCTCGATGACGTCGGGCGAGCACTTGCATCCGAGGCCGTCCCCGAACAGCGCCGCTAATCCAAGCTTCCTGTCAACAGCGGTGGCCACCTGCTCGAACCGCGCGCTCCTGCTGCCCCCGCCTCTCGCTGCGGCGGCGGCGACCTTGGCGTCGGCCGCGGGGCGCGGCGGCGGCGGGTACACGTCCGGGACCCCGACGACGCCGAGGCGGAACAGGGCCCACGCGGCGGCAGGAGGCTGCGCGGCGGACCCGGTGCTGCGGCGGGGCCGCGCCGAGCGCAGCTGCGGTGACGGGCTCGGGTGCGCGTAGAACACGCTGCTCGACACCGAGCGCCGCGGCGGCGCGGCGGCGGCGCCCTGGTCGGAGGAGGCGCTCTTGGACGACTGGCTCCGGCTGACGCACCCGCTGCTGCTGCCGCTGGAGCTCGCGCTGCGGCTGCCCGACCGCGACACGAGGCCCACGGTGGAAGCCGCCGACTCCGACCTCGGCAGCGCGGCGACGCTCGCGCCGTCGGCGGCCGCGCCCGAGGACGCGCGGAGCGGGAGCAGCTTGCCCTGGCAGAAGAGCTCGTCCGCCACGCACATGTCCGTCCCCGCGCCCTTGCCGGCCGGGACGATGCCACCGGACGACAGGATGCAGAACTCGAAGTCGTCGGCGGAGTCCGGGGTGGGGCCGTCGGCGTCGGCGTCGGCGCGAGACTCTGCCGCTGCTGCGTCTGCCATGGTCGGATTCTTTTCCTGGTCCAAGGAGAAAGAATAGGGAGGAGAAATGGTCAGGTTTTCGTTGTGTTGCGGTCTTCTTTTTGGCTTGTTCTGTTTTATCTTGGAAAAATAGAAGGACATTGCGAATGCAAGGAGAGACAGGTGATGCGGTGGTCTCTTTCCGTCTTTCGTCCCTGTTGTAGGGACCCTGAGATGTTACTGTATAAACACTGCACTTGGCAGCCATTAGTCAAACCTCAAAATCCCAAAGGCTGATCTTGGCTAGATTTAAAATGACACTATTTTATCAAGTGTCTATTATGGATGAGAGGTGGAAAATGCACGTATATGAAAAAAGAGTCATAACAAATTGTGTTGACCAATTGATTCCTATTATAAAAATATATATGGCAAAACACCAGCTCGCCAAAAAAAACATTCATGTATTTTAGCTATGTTTAAATGAATGATTCTCTTAGAAACACAATTCGAATGTGAAATAAAACTACACATCAAATTAAGTATTTTTGGTCGACTAGTTTGTACTAAATAGAACTGCCGCGTACACCCCCTCCCAATTGATTCTGCTTGAAATATGTTTCCACTGAGGTCAGATTATGAGCGTGAGAAAAAAAAATGCTCGTCAAAATTAAGGTATTGTTTGGTTCAGGAATACAAATGCAAATGGAATTTGTTTAAAAAAAGAGATGCAAATAGAAACGTAAATGTAATCAATATACACAGTTAACGATTCCGAAATTGATGATTTCTCGTTTTGTTTGGTTCAGCATGGGAATGGAATGAACGACAACGTTAACAGATAACACTCGTACGAGAGCGGCATCGTGTTTCCACGTGCTCGTATCTGATAACGTCGTAACTGATTGCGGCCCACTTGAAAGAAACAAAAAACAACACAAATGAACAACGGTGAATCAGAGTACGTTACAAAAGTTCGAACCAAACACGTGCTAAATGTCTAACTTATAGTTCCAGTGCAATATGTCATCAGAAAAAACCCTAAAAACATATTTTAGTTAACTGTTAGAAAACCATGTAGTAGTTATTTTGGTTGCATTAGTAGAAAACAGGCATATGACAAAAAAAAAATATAAGGATCAGGTGCTTTGACCATTTAATTGATCGACAAATTGGTACTACAAGAACAACCAACATAAACTTAGAGAAATATGAACATTTCAAAAAAAAAAAGAAGAAGAAGAAGAAGAAGCATGGCATACACTGATACACACAAATGCCACTGATATGAATGTGTAAATAAACTTTTGTTTGAGTTAATCATGCACTGTGTAATCAACAACTTGAAGATTTGGATTTGCATGCCAACTGGCCGTATGAAAAGGACCCATTGCAGCCAAAGTGCGTATCACCCTTGTGTAAATCAAATCGCTCCGAAAGCGTCGCGTCCTGCTGTATTGGTTACTCCAACTGTCCGCTATTGAACAAGACCACAAGTTTTGTTTACTGAATTCATACTGCGACAAATATCCAATCAGTACGTGAACTGTAAAAAAAAAACGCTCACTTATTTTACCTCAGATTGAACGAGTATTTCGATTGAAGCACATTTTAAAATTACGAAAAGAAAATCCAGAAGAGATATTTAATCAAATTTTTAAATATTGATGTAGCAAATTTGAATCGAATTTGCATATTTACATCTACAATCTATAATTATATCTATATCCCCTTCGCCCTTCATGTTCCATGTGCGACTCGGACTCACTTCTCGTGCTCATACGAATTCGAATGAAACGCTTCCAACGATAGCACGGAATTCGATCCAAGATGTATTTGTTCCATTGTAGCAGCACGGAATTCGATCCAAGATGTATTTGTTCCATTGTAGCGCACCGACACGTTTGTAGTTAAAGAAAATGTGCGGATATAGGATAGTAAAATTGTTGGCATTATTTCGGACGTTTTAATTCATACAATAATTTGTATTGCAAGGAGTATGCTGATATATATTCCTTTTATTTATGAAGACACATGAAAATTTGTATACACTTCAAGCGAGCCTTGCTTGTTTGTACTCCCTCCGTCCGCGAAAGAGCAATTGTTCTCGAGGACAACTCAGTGAACAAGCTAAGGGGGTGTTTGGTTCCACCTCCTAAATTTTAGTCGCTGTCCTATCGAATGTTTGGACACATGCATGGAGTATTAAATATAAACCCGGTTCGCTTCGCTGAAATAACAAGCCGAAACAGTTTTCCGGCTGATTTGTTGTTAGAGAAAAACACTGTTCCGGCTGAAAAAACTGATTATAAGAGAAGTGAACAGAGCCATAGACTATTTACAAAACTAAATGCACTGTTTGCGACTAATTTACGAGACGAATCTTTTAAGCCTAATTAGTCCATGATTTGACAATGTGGTGCTGCATGGATTAATCAGGCTTAATAAATTCGTCTCGTTGATTACTGACAGATTCTGTAATTTATTTATTTTATTAATATTTGAACACCTCATACGATATCTTTATGTGACACCTTCTAAACTTTAATCACTGAATCCAATCAACCGTAAATTATGCATGTGCCCTACTCAAGTCTCTCTTTCACACAGCAGCATCCAAAGCCTGCACCTCGATCCTGCCACCGAACCAAGGAGCGCTTCTCATTTCTCCTTCTCCTACAATAATATATATATATATATATATATATATATATATATATACTACTATTATGTAGCTGGCTACAAAATAACTTATTATGTAGCCGATTTGAGTTACGATAATTACTATGTTAATTTACAATATTATAGTAACTCCTTACTAAATGATTTACTATAATGTTATGGTAAATATCCCCATGTGTTATAGTAACCCAATTATCGTAAATATGTATTGACATTATCGTAAATTAGTATATAAAATTATCGTAAACAGAGATGGCTATAGAATAACTTATTTTGTAGCTGGCTACTGAATATACTCTCCACACACACATATATACACACACTTACAACTAAAAAGACTAAAGAGGATACATGGTTTTGGTGCGATAAAAATTTCGCCTCACCCCGTGGGATTTTTTCCACCTCGACGCTCTGCCCGTCCCGTGCGAAATAGAAGGAAGGTGAATCACCGGCGAATAAAAGGAAGGTAATCACCGGGAACGTTAACGTCCACCCTGACACTTTGCCCGCCAGTGCGATCCGCACTTCTCCCTCACCTCCGCGCCCGGCCGTCGCCTCCTCTCCCTCCCCGTCGCATCCGCGCCGCGCTCGCCCATGCCGCCGCCTCCTCATGATCTCCCCACGCTCGCAGACGTGGGTTCGATTCCCTTCCCCCTCCACCAGGAGTGCAGGGCAGCCCACCACGCCGGCCAAGTTGGTCACCAGGCCAGTGCTGGCCCCACCACCAGGACGCCAGGGAGCCGGCCACCAGGGCGCCAGGGAAGGGGAGCGAGACGTGAGGAAACCCTGGTCTCCGGATCCGCCACGATGGGCTGCCTCGGCGGCGACGCGGAGCCGCAGGGCGCGAGGCGGCAGCCGCGGTTCCTATGCCCTCTCTCCCACGACAGTGGCGGCGCCCCCATCCTGCAGCGGCGCGGACCAGATCCGGCGGTGGCACCTCTCGATCCTCACAAGCGGCGGCACCCACCTCCGAACCAAGGAGCGCTTCTCATTTCTCCTTGTCCTACAATACTCTCTCTATATATATATAACTACTATTCTGTAGCTGGCTACATATAAAATAACTTATTATGTAGCCACTTTGAGTTACGATAATTACCATGCTAATTTACGATATTATAGTAACTCCTTACTAAGTGGTTTACTATAACGTTATGGTAAACATCCCCATGTGTTATAGTAACCCAATTATCGTAAATATGTATTGACATTATCGTAAATTAGTATATAAAATTATCGTAAACGAAGATGGCTACAGAATAACTTATTTTGTAGCTGGCTACTGAATATACTCCACACACACACTTACAACTAAAAAGACTAAAGATGAGACATGGTTTTAGTGCGATAAAAATTTCGCCTCACCCCGTGGGATGTTTTTCCACCTCGACGCTCTGCCCGTCCTGTGCGAAATAGAAGGAAGGTGAATCACCGGCGAATAAAAGGAAGGTAATCACCGGGAACGTTAACGTCCACCCCGACACTTTGCCCGCCAGTGCGATCCGCACTTCTCCCTCGCCGCCGCGCCCGACCGTCGCCTCCTCTCCCTCCCCGTCGCATCCGCGCCGCGCTCACCCATGCCGCCGCCTCCTCATGATCTCCCCACGCGCGCGGACGTGGGTTCGATTCCCCTCCCCCTCCATCAGGAGTGCAGGGCAGCCCACCACGCCGGCCAAGTTGGTCACTAGGCCAGTGCTGGCCCCACCACCAGGACGCCAGGGGGCCGGCCACCAGGGCGCCAGGGAAGGGGAGCGAGACGTGAGGAAACCCTGGTCTCCGGATCCGCCACGATGGGCTGCCTCGGTGGCGGCGCGGAGCCGCAGGGCGCGAGGCGGCAACCGCGGTTCCTGTGCCCTCTCTCCCACGACAGTGGCGGCACCCCCATCCTGCAGCGACGCGGACCAGATCCGGCGGTGGCACCTCTCGACCCTCACAAGCGGCGACACCCACCTCCGAGCACCAGCACCAGCGCCCTACTCGACGTCAGCCACGACGACGGCTTCCTCCATTCGGTGGCGCCCCGTACCCCCTTGCCACCTACGGCGACACCCCCTTCTCCAACGGACGACAACGTCTTCTTCCCCAACCGGAGGTGGCGCCCATCCCTTCCCACACAAGATGGCGTCGTATACCCGCTGCCGCCGGCCAACACCCACCAGGTATTTGCACCCCTTATCTTCCCTTCCTGCTATCCGAAACCGAGCACCCGAACCGACGGCCAACACCCACCAGGTATCCGCTGCACTCGCCCGTCGCACATGTTGTGCGATCCAGCCATCCAGGTTTCGCATGAGGTGCACACGGCGCTGTTGGAGCCGGCGCTCGGGATCAACTTCGTAAGTGGATGAGCCAGCACGCTC